TTTTGAATGCTCTAGATTCCTTTGCACTTCCTGCAACTTCACTTCCATGTCTTCCTGCTTTGCAAATGCAATCTTAAAAAAAAAAAAGACAAATATTACCACCAAAATGAGATTTAGTAAAAAAAGAAATCCATCGTCTAAGAGACAGTGGTAAACTGAAATTAACTTGTAACTACAATTTAACGATAGTGCTTACCACTACACTAAATGTGATTCCAAGTACCCCTCTGTAAATATATTAGCCATTTCTTAAAACCACCACCACAACCCAAAAACTGCAAACATGCAGAAGAGTTTCAAACTGTACCTAGGACCACTAGTTTTCAAAGAAATTAAGTCTGACCAACAGATTGATATTGTTACAGAGGTATTTCTAGGCTTCCTTACTTTAACTCAGATTTACTCTGTGCATCAACAGCAAAATCAATAACGTTCATTGTTTGATCTTTCTCTATTTTCACTCTACAGAAAGTAGAGGAAACTACTGAGTTGAGGACAGAAAAAACACATGATCTGCAGTTCTGTGGTAAGCCCTTGTCTATTGTCTGTTCCTGAACAGCTCAGAATTACTATCCTGTGCAGTGCAAGTGGTCATACCTTTTCCTTAGTATCCCTCTTGTTTCTGAGCTTCATTAACTCCATGCATAGGCTGCTCATTTTCTTCTGCATGCCATCTTCAGACAGCTTATTAGAGATGAATATAAAAACCACTAAGCATAACTCCTTCAAATGAATTACTCTTCACACTCTTAATAAAAGTGTCCCCCTCCCACCCACAACACTTATCTCTACCCATCCTTGAGATGGATGTTAGCAGGTCCCGCTCTCTCTTTAGACAGAAGCGCACAAGATCCCAACCAGACATGCTCTATCCCTGTGCCAGTGAAGGGGCACGGGGAACAAGAAAACAGATGCTGATCAGCAACTAGAGTTTGTTCTTGCCCAGGGAGCTTAACAACAGCAAACGAAAAGCAAAGATGCACTTATTTGTCTGAATACCTTTGACTTGAGAAGTTCATTGGTTCTCGTTAGTTCCAGAAGCTGTTTTTTTAGGCATGCAACATTTGCCAAAAGAGATGTTTTCTCCTGAACTGCAGCACTCAGCTTTGCTTCAATCTTAACAAAATCCTCATCCAGAGCCTGAAGTTTTTTATCCTGCTCTCCACGCTCTCTCACTAATGCACGAATCTAAAACAAAAGAAGTATTTTCTCTATTTCCTATTATTCTTCTTAAATTACATCATTAATTTATACCTGTGGTTTTCTTGGAGAGGCTAAGTATCCAAACTGTATTAACCTTCACTGAGAATACATATCTTCAACTTTGTCATTTGCAGGAAAGGAGGTAACAGAATCACCACAATTCTCTCTTACTACACACCACAGATTTACAGTCCTAGCACTTCATCTGACTTATTTTATGCTATTGAGCCACTACAACATGTTAAAGTTAGAAAAGTCTTAGCTTCAACTTGCAACAGAAGCCAACTCTCTCTCCTTTTTGGCTGTGGAACAGAAAAACAGAATGTGACATTTGAGACACGAGGCAGAGATTAGTACACAGAAGTGTACTGATAAGGAAAAGCTAGCTGCCTCTTAAACTTTAAAATTATGTCAATTAGTAAGCAAAAATCTCAGCAAGCAGTTGCTAAATAAAACAGAACCTTTTTGAGGTAGAGAACATAGGACTTGGTTCTTTTTTTTTAAAAAAAAAAAAAAAGACTGGCTGCATAGCTGCTCACAATCAACAGGAATTAATGTAACTCCATTAACAAACACAGTGCTTTCTACATACCATAACATTTGATAATTGCTGTTCTGCACAGAGCTGTTTGCAAACTACTTGTATGCTATGTTATGCAAAGGAAGCTAATTTTACCAGCTTGTTATTTTTTATTACAGTAAGTGGGAAAAACATTACAGGATTCCACTCACATAATGTGTTCATACCTCCTTCTCCAGTGCCTTCTGTTTCTTTTTCTCTTTCATAAGGATAAGATCTTTTTTAGGCTTCAGAGTCCCATGAGCTGGCTTTGAAAACAGATGTATTAAAAAATTTAAACTGATCTCTAGCTGCATACTAGTTTAACAACACAGTTAAATATAGGAGTGGATGCCTTCATCTAGACAATACGTTAAAGATACACACACACAAAATAAAAAGCAAACATCTCTCTCCCACACATAGGGCAGACAAGTATCAGGCTAGGGTGGGTTTTAGTATTGTACATTCTCATAAGCATTACTGTGAATGGACAGCTCATAACCACTGTGACAGAAAGGAGATTAAGGAAGTTTGAGATATTAGCACCCCCTAAACTCCATAAAAACTACTTTAATCTCTTAACCACAGGTTGGTTTGCAGAATTTCATCCTACATCATGAGTACTAGTAAACAAAACTAGTAAGTCAGAGTTATCATTTTTCAACTTGTTAAGCTATGCATCTTCAAATCCACATCCTTGCACATTGCACTGAGAACCTGTTTATACAGTATCATCCCCTCTTTGTTCCTTTTACCACTAGGTTTCTGCTCTGCCCTGTCCACCTGCCCTGTATGAAAACAGAAACAGGGTCTTCTTAAAAAGAAGCAGACACAGCGTATTTACACGGTGAGCAAAAGGCAAAAAACCCCAGCATTGTAACACCAAAGATTACAAGCCACTCTGTAGTCCCAAGTAATCATCATGTGATTCCCATAGACGCTGCAATTTCATTTTTCCTTCTTAGTTACTAAGGAATACAGGCATAATAGTGTGTTTCATGGTTTGCTCAGGTAGGTTAATAGTAACTGTGTAAAGGGGCAACATGATTTAACTAGTCACAGTGAGGTTTAGCTGGAATTTAACAGTGCTACAGACACTACAAGAGTCTTACTGTTGATCCGAGAGATGTGAGTCTCCTTCCAGTTACAGGGGTCGGTGCACTCTTCTCACTGTTCAGATTTACCTCACCTGCAGAAGGATGCAGAAAAGAATGGTGAAGGAAGAGGGTGTGCATGCACACAGTGAGGGAAATTTAACCAAACTAGACAAGGTTAATTAACTTTTTATACAAAAGACAGAAAGCCACCTGATTATTAAGACTATGCACTTCACCACCTAATGCCAGTTGTTTTCTTACTGCCAACAAGCAGCCCAATATTAGTCATCTGGGCACTTGACAGAGTTTAGAAAGAGACTACCCGATGACAGCCAGTTTTGAGAATTCAGCTTCTGCCAAGTTTCCCCCCCACCTTCCAGATCCATGCTGTCAGTTTTCAACTGAGGGATGCTTTATATCTGAAAAACCCATCAAAATATCACTAAAACCAAGGTTAAGGAAGTAGTTAAATCATTTATTTCATCTCCAGAGGTCCCCCTAATTAACAGAAGTCATATAAAGCTATTTTTGGAAGATTCAGTTAGATGTGTTTTTACAGTTGCTGTCCTCTTGAGCTAGAAGGTAGGCAGTGAGTCCCTTCAGCATAAAACAATTTCTAAACAAGAACAGAGTAGTAATAGCATGTAAGCACTAACACTTGTAGCATTCAAAGATATTATACCATTGTGTTCTGTGCAACTTCTATGACTACTTACCCTTCTGTTTTCTAACCCGTTGACATGTTTCAGAGAACAGAGAACTTTTCAGTGCACCTGAAGATTTAGCATCACAGGATCCTTGCAGCGGGGTACAAACTAGAAATGAGATTTTCAGAACAGCAGAGAACTATTAAGGTAAATGATAGGGTTTTCAACTTCAATGAGTTGAGGCTTGTAACACATTTAAGTTAAATCCGCTTAAAAAAATAAAAAACCCCAATCAACAACTGGAGTCTCAGTTCTCCTCATCCTTCCCATAAACATGAAAATATACAGCACACATGGCAGCGGAAAGGGTTGGTTTATTACACATTAATAAAATTAGAAACTGTGATTTACATATACAATATTGCAAGGCATCTTACTAGTGATAGCAGTGCATTAACTTCCATAAAGAAAAAATGCAAATGGTGGGAAGATCTTCATGGCAATTGGTGAAAAAGGCAGCCTAAAGCGTTAAAGGATAAAAAGCAAACTTAACTGTTGCTTTTTTTTTTTTTAAACATCTTCTTCCAGTTTAGAAGACACTACTTAGATGTTGTTGAATGCCAAACTTTTCCTCCAAAGAACTAAGTTACTTAAACTTTTATTAAAAAAAACCAAACCTAAAAGTTCTTCTAAAAATTAAACATTTTTAAGGGAAACAGCAGACAGAAACAAGATGGCTACAAATTCTTCATGCAATTATCGTTATAGTCGGGTGGTTTCAAGCCCAGTAAACGCTTACCTACTTGCTTCAGCTTTCTGCAAATGAGAGCAGCTTCATTTAATATGAGAACAGGCAACGGTAGCAGAGAGGCATTCAGGTACAGCCAAAAACTCATAGTGAGAAACTTTTGCATTAGAAAATGCTCTCAGTAGCAGTACTTCAGTTGTGACTAGCTCTGTAGGTTTCTCTTGTAGCTTTGTATCAGAAGGCTAGCAAATCCTGGTTTGTCACTGTTTTATTTACTACGAACATATATATGCATGTTCGCTGCTGTATTTAGTAGCCCTTTACCTACGACCAGGATTCGACCTGTAGTTGGAATTTTTTTTCCTCAGGAGACTCCTACAAGGGCTTGGACAAGCGGCCCTCAGACACACCGTTACAGGGGGAGCACAGGCAGAAGGACTGAGACACGCGGAGGTAACCGCAGCCGGTGCCCCTTCCCCCTAGCACTACCACGAAGGGCCCGGGGTCCCTCCCCGCCCCCGGAGGACCGCCGCGCACGTACCGGAGCTCTCGTTGAAGCGCCGGAGCGGCGCCCTGGAGAAGGCCATGGCGGCGGACGGAGCTCGGCGCGGCGCGGCCCCCTCGGCGTTCAAAGGGACCAACGGCCACCAGCGCGCGCCCCGGTCAGCCAATCACCTCCTCCCGTTCGAGGCCGGCTCAGCCAGTCAGCGCCGCTGGCACGGAGCACGCGCACCGCCGCTCCGGCGAGATGCCGGCGGGTGGGAGGAGGGTGACGGTGGGGCTGCGCGCATGCGCGGGGCGGGCCGCTCGCCTCCGGGCCCGGGCCGCGAGGTGCGGGGCCGCCGTCTCCCATGTCGGCTCCGTTCGAGGAGCGGAGCGGGGTGGTGCCCTGCGGGACGCCCTGGGGCCGCTGGTATCAGACCCTGGAGGAGGTGTTCATCGAGGTGCGGGTGCCGCCGGGCACCCGGGCTAAGGACGTCCGCTGCAGCCTGCAGAGCCGGCACATCGCCCTCTCCGTGCGGGGCCAGGAGGTGCTGCAGGTAGCGGGGGAGGGGGAGGCGGCCCGGGGGGGCGCCGCGCTGTGAGGGGGACGGGGCCGGGGAGCCGGGGGCGGCCCCGGGGGCGCCGCGCTGTGAGGGGGACGGGGACAGCGGCGGGGGGGGCGCGGGCCGCGGGGGGGCCCCCCCGGGGGCGCA